AATAATAATAATAATAATAATAATAATAATAATAATAATAATAGTAATAATAATACTCATGGTCTATTCAGGATATGCCGGCCATATTCCATACGGATATGCGCATTTCGGTGTTTCAAATGTCCCTGCCACAAACAGCGCGCTAACAGAATTCACATCGAATTACCGAAAACGGCAGAGCACGGAATGGGCACCGGCGACGATTACACGACCCGATCCACCGCTAATAATTCAACCGACCACAATTTATCACAAACACGTCGGCATGATTCCGAACTACCTTGGTCATGTCCCTGGAGAAACATTCAGGTAAATTAATCTTACTCTGTGCCTCTAAAAATTGTAAACATTTTATTTGTTTAATGCAGATACGGCAAAACTTTCGGCGCCGATACCAAGGACGCCAAAAGGTGGTTGCGCGGTGACTTCTAATACTTGTATAAATTGCAATATTTTTGTACTGTCAAATAAACCATACTGATGCCAGGAGAATATACAATGATTAAGAATATGTAAGACACAGTATGTAAAAAAGATATTTATTTTAGTTAAGTAGCAAGGACTACCAGCATCCGTTCTTCTACTATTGAGATTTCCATTTCATTAATATTTCAGCAGCTTCCTTCAAATTTTCATCTTTCTGCAGGAGATAAGAATCGATTATGCGAACAGTACATGTTTATGATCTACATATGTGTATACAATGAATTGATTTCTTACTTTTATAAAACAATACCGGACGTTATCTTCCCCTAGTTGCTTATGTTCCTCGCTATAAAATGCGGACGACGGAATTCCTTGAACACCAACGTTCTTCGTCATCCACTTTGTGAATCGGTAATCTTTGTTTTGGTCCGTTTCTTCGTTCAATCTGACTTTATTCTCTAAAGCAGTCCAGTTAGCTACCATGAAGTAACCACCTTCAGGAATTGTTGGTACCATTCCCACGTCGCTAAGAAATTTAGCCATGTAATCCCGTTTTGGCAGCAATTCCTTCGCTAAACTCACAAAGTAACAATCTGGTTGGTCGAATCTTGATAACTCCTGTTCAAATCCGACAGCTATAGCTTCCTATAACGTTAAACGTATGTAACACCGATTAATGCTAATATAATATATTGTATATTTGTAAACAAAATATTTAGTACGTACTTGGACCGGAGTATTGCAGGTATATACAGCATTTTGATGAACAACTTGTAAATTGCGCATTAAATTGGCTGGACCATAAGCCCATCCTGTTTTCCATCCAGTAACACTAAACGTTTTACCAGCAGAACCAATTGTAATTGTACGTTCATACATGTCGGGTAACGTTGCTAAAATTATTTAACATTTAAGATAAAATATTTTGTGCAGGCTAATAAGTAATTACAGTACGTTAAACAATAATGTACCAATTCTAATGTGCTGATATGGTTCATACACAATCCATTCGTAAACTTCATCCGATACAACAAGTGTATCCCATTTCTTAGCTAAGTTAGCAATAAATTGTAATTCATCAAGTGTGAGAACTTTTCCCACAGGATTATGCGGAGTATTAATAATTATTCCTTTGGTCTTCTTATTGAACAAACTTTCTAACTCTTGCCTATCAAATACCCAATCTGCTGAACTCAAGGGACCATTTACATTTTTCTTAAATAATAATCAATGAATAATTTCAAAACTTTTACTTGTACGTAAAATATATACTTTCATAAAGTAAAACTTACTGGTCTTAAAGCAATGAACCTAGGTATTCCGCCAGCAGTTCTTACCATAGGTACGTAACAATCAAAAAAGGGTTCAATAATTATCCATTCATCACCAGGATTTGTATGGCCTTGAAATGTAGAATATAAAGCTTCATATGCACCGGACGTAACAAGGATTTCATTATTTGGATCCAAGTCACGATTTAAAAGCTTTGAATACAATTTGGCAAGTGCATTGACTAGACGTGGATGACCCTGTAATGATGTAAAACTTTATGAAACATAATAATTGATAAAGATAAAAATCTTGAAATTTAACCTAATACTTACAAATCCTCTAGTATATTGATTTAAAAGAGGATTATCACTTGTAGTTGCATTGCTTAAGGCCTTTGTCACATTTTCAGGGGCATAAAAATCTGGAAACCCTTGCCCCAAGTTCAATGGTTTGTATTTTAGTGCAAGTTGAATATATTCAACCCTGAAGAAAATTCAATCGAAATCATTGTACATAGGTATTAATATAAATTTTTTAATTGTACTCACCATATTGACTTATCGTTGCCTTTTAAACGATCAGGGAGATCAAACTTAGACATCACAGGAGAATAGTTTCTAATATTCCTTATTGTGGACAATGAAATTGGTGCTTTAGAACTAGTTCCAAACACACAAATCCTAGCAAACATCTAAACATATATTTGTGAGTAATTAATTACAAAAGGAAGACAAATAGATTATAAATACAATCTTATGATTTGTTTATCGCAAACTGCAGCCACATGAAAATTTCCATTAGGTGTCAAATAAAAAACTATAAATCTCATTGAAGATTATTGAACTCGGGTATATTTAAAATGCATAAAATTTACAATTTATTTACAACATTTAAATATACTATACCTTAATATTATAATGATCTGAGTT